TTTAAAAGAGCAAGAAGGATATGGCACAAAAAGCAATGCAGAATTCAGCCACAACCGTAGTCAACATTTGAAGGGGGTCAAAAAGTTTTTCAAAACTTTCCTAAGAAAATTTTTAGGACAACTTTGAATAAATGTATTGATCCAATGAGGTATATGCACAAAAACCTTTTAATTTCAGTCAGCCAGACCCAGGACTTCCAGTTAATTGTCATCCCATATAAAATCACTGTGTTTAAGATCTTCACTGCCTGGTTGAGATACGCTATGAAGTGTATAAGACCAAACAAGAAGCACTGCATTAAATCATATCTTTCTGCGTCATGTCTTTAAAATATAGAAATTAATTTTACCCCAGTATTTTCAATGAGTTTCTGAGCAGGCCTGCGGCTAATGATGGCGCCTTCGATTAAATGGTCTTTCATCTCTTTTTACACTTTAACAACTAAATGATAGCTTAAGTGAGTTACTGAGTTACCTTACAAAACTGAGTTACATTTAACTGAGTTACATTACAAAAGCAATGTTGTGAAATGAACCTTTGAATTTGAAAATACTCACATAAAGCTTTCACCAGAAGTTTATCATTGGCTGAAAAACCCTATCGTGGATATAGCTGAACCCATTCAAATCAAATGTTGTCAACTGTACACTAACATAAGAACAACAGAACAATACAGTTGTGATTTGTTCAGGGCTTTAATGAAAAAAATATGAACAATCAATCAGAATCTGTCTAACTTTAAAAGAGCTTGGGTATTTTGAAAGGTTAACAATAACGTAGTTTAGGGTTTGTTGATATGGATGCTTATAACTGAGCAATCGGCAGCAAACTAAACTGGATGATCAACTTTTTTATGAAGTAAAAAAGCTACACATCTAATCATATGCATTGTTTTGAGTGTTGGGGAAAGTTACTTTTGAAGGTTATGCATTACAATGTTGAGTCACTCCCAAAAAATTAAGTAGTTGCATTACTTACTTTATATGAAAAGTAATAGGTTACTTTACTATTGAGTTACTTTTTCATACCTGCCTGAGGCTTGATCTCTTTCAGAACTTGCGATTACAATCCCCTTTTCTTATGTGTTCAAAATAATGAGAATACCGCCATCACAGAAATTTTTATTTATTATTGCGTAATACATTACTTGTAATGTTACCCACACACACTGACTATTTTGAAGCAAATTCAACAATCACTTGCTACACACACTTGTCATCTTGAACCATATATAAGATATGAAGAATACTATGATTGTCTTCATTGTGAAAAATCACTGTAAATATTCTATACAAACCATGTGCTTCAGTAAAACTACATATACCCTAAAATAATATTACTACAATTAAAATGTTAATTCAGCTTTACTTATGAATGTGTCAAAAGAAAAATGTGCAAATGCATTTATTAACACTGAGAAAAAACTACCAAAAATGCCGGGTTATTTCAATACTATGGGTCAAAGAATAAACCTAATCAATTTAAATAAAATGTTAGTGTTTGTTCCAATTTGACAACATTTTGTACAATGTAAATGTGGTCACAACAGCATTAAAGCATTTGATTTACCCTCGTTTTAGTTGTCATTCAGTATATTGTTACCTGGAGACTTACTCTGACAGTCGAGTTATTATTATTTTTCCAGAACAGATACAAGTGAATACAAGTTGATTTGCAATCAATTTACTGCAAAGAATCAGCTTGTTCACGAATCAGACATCCACCACCATCTTGTCTTGTAGTGGGTGACTATTTCTTAAGTTCAAAAGAACAAGGTATGATATGTTGTCTTGAAATACAGTGTAAACACTTTGCTAAGTAAATATCTCAATGATAAAAATCTTCAGATAAAGTGCAGATATTTGAAAATTTAGTCAAATGAATAAATTACCAGTTTATTTCCCCCCACTGGAAGTTTAAAGTTTGACTAAGCAACTCTCCGTTTCAACCAGTGCATTTAAAGGGGACTTATTGTGTAAAAAAAAAAAAAAAAACAAATTCACATTTATAAGGGTTTTAAATACAGTTGTGTGGCAAGAGTCGGTGGATATAATCAACTTTTAGTGATAAAAATGTAATAATTTTATTTTATATTAATCACACTTGAAAAAACATTCTCTCTTTTCTACTTGTCATCAGAGGGGAAAAGCGCCAACCATTAGTAATGAACACTGCATCATTAGTATAGAATGTTAGTCTTGTTTTTGAATTGGCCACTATGCTGACACAGGCACTTGTAGCCCCACCCTCTTTTGAAAAGAGTGCAGGAAGCACAATCTCATTTGAATTTAAAGCAACAGTCACCAAAATGGGACAAAATCAAGGCCTAAAAGGGGCATTTCAAAGAGTTGTTCAAGACGTATTGAGCTGAAGCTTCACAAACATACTCTAGGGACATCAGAGACTTATTTTACATCTTATAAAAAGGGGCAAAAAGATCATCGTTAGGTGCTGTACTAATTTCAGTATCTTGTTGTTGTATTTTTATCAAATTTTTGCGCACAAAAAGTTATTTGTACAGAACTTGATGAACCGATATAAAAATACTTTGTGTCCTGAACCATCCCAGTACAGAACTGCAGTCCTAATGTACTAGTTTCACACCAAAGTCACTCCCATTGTGATTTAATGCTCTGCTTTTACATCAGTCAGTGTCATATGAGCTGAATTTCTAGCACGATTCATGCTGGCTGGAAAGTAGTTACACTGAAGGTATAAATTTAACCAGATTGTGCATTATTACAATTCATTTACTTCTCCAGACAAACATTTCTAAATAAATAAATTACAATGTAATGGTTTGAGCTAGATTTCAGTATAGTACAGCACATTTAGCAACTACTCCACAAACATGACATATCAAAAGAGAAGACACAAATCTCATTCTCCACAAAAGCGCTCCAGTTTCAAAATATTGATCAAAGTCAGAGTTATTGACCACCTTGACAGCGGAATCAGCTAATACCTGAGAGAGATCCTGGATTATCATTCTAATTAGCAGACATCCTGCTTAACAACCTCACTGTTAACTTTAACCACATACTGAATGACTGTACTGTAGCCTGTATTATGCCTGCACTTCCAAACTAGAACATGTGTATTTCTATTAAACTTTATGCATCTTCCATGCATGCAAACAGGTCAAATATGCCTAATGCACAAGTAAAATTTTAATTTTATTTAGCAAAAGAGAGATGAATATTTTCAATTTTACAAGACATGCAACAAATGTAAACTATATTTAGGATTAGCAAAAGTGAAACAATCTGAGTTTTGCAGCGATTATAAGATAAGTTTACAGGATGCAGAAATAAGGTTTGATGGAAGCCATGAAATTATTCAATAATAGATAAAGTTCTTTATTTGCTAACAGTATTTGATCATTTTGCTATCAGTATTTGATCATTTTATACAGTTTAACCATTTTGTTCTTCATGCTACACTGTTAAAATTAAATTACAGAAACTTACCATAAAATAACAAACATTAAAAAACAGAAATTTACTTGACTTTTTTTTTTAAGGTAAATTTCTGTAATTTAACGGGTGTTATTTTACTTTTTTCCAGCACCAAAGCTGCCGGAAATAACCGGAAAATTACTGATTTTTTTTACAGTGTACTAAAATATGCCAGTCCAGGCAATGAAAGCAATTAAATCGAATGCATGTCATTAAAATTATATTTCACCGAAGCAAAATTTACTCCACCTCAAGTGGTTCTAAACCTTTATGAGTTTCATTTTCTGTTAAAAGATATTCTGAAGAATGTTAGAAACCTGCAACCGTTGACTTGAATAATATGAAATAAAAATAAGTTAATGGTTACAGGTAGGGCTGCACAATATTGGAAAATTCAGACACTGCAATATGTTGTTTTTTTGCAATATATATATATTGTGTGATAATAATATAATTTCACCAAATGATTTAAAAAGCTCTATTTGAAAAGAATTAATTGATTTTGATAGAACAAAAACTTGATAATCTCAGTCTAGTCTATGCAGTAGTCAGCATCTGTATACATTATAATAAATTACAAGGGAAAATTAATAAATAAACAGCGCTTTATGGTTTTCTGGGAAGTTTTCATGTACAGAAATTGGACAAGCAAACGTAAAATAGCAGTCACCATTGTATAAATAATTGGGGAAAAAAATAATATTTAATAACATTATTATAATCTTTCGTAAATATTCTAACCCTGCGATGTAACTATTGCATATTTACACATTGTGATATTGATGCACGCATGACATTGTTCAGCCCTAGTTATAGGTTTCCAACATTTTCATAATATCTTTCGTAAAAAGAAACTCCAACAGGTTTGTGCAAAGTTAAGGTTGAGTAAATGGCAATTTTTATTGTGGAAGAACTATCCCTTCGTCACTGGGGCTGTACTTCTTCAAAAAGATTCACATTTGCACTTTTTAGGTAGTAATAATGTACTAATATACCTGATGTACTTTAGGTAGTAATGATGGAAGAACATGTATCTTTTGTAATGGCACCGCCCCAACAGCAGACTTCATTTCGAAGTGTGTGCAGTCTACAAAAATTTAAGAAACTTCAATTTCATGTATTTTCATTTGAATCAGCATTAATCACCACATCAATAACATTATAATCAACACACATTTGCATTTTACAATTTAATATACTTCGTTCATTTCATATTAAATCATAATTAAATTTCATTTTGTAGATTGTGCCAGTTCTTTGAAAAAAATAAACCCTTCAGCACTGATTTTTATTAAAGTTACAAACTTCAGTAGGCTATTTATCGTCACCTGCTACTGAACACCAAGTGTGTACTACGGTGTTTTGAGCATCTAGCACACATCAGTCAAACGCAGAAACAGCCTGCACACTCTGACAGTTGTAGCTTTCACTACGCATTTCAGCACGACGGTGGCGGGTGGAACCAGACAAACACACAAATCTCCGGCCTTTCAGGTAATCAGATTAGTATACAGTACGTGATACGCTGTCAACACACTTACCGGTGCTCATTGTTCTCTGCAGACCTTTCCAGAGCCCAATGTCATGCGTATCTACAGATCTTCTTCAGCTTTCAGCGCGCGCTGCACATCTTTCATCAGCCGCCCGGTGCACGAGCGCTAAAGCCGACACAATGGGTGTTTAAAAAAAATGAATACTAAGCGCCTCGCACCTCCGATTTTAGAAAAGTAGTTATGTGTGCTATAGGATCGGTAATAAACGTAGTGCGCAGTGTTGCGGGCGCATGCACGAACTGGGTGTTGGCGTATGGCTGTGATGCGCTCGTGCGTATTTGCCTCAGCACCATCATCCCTGCACGAGCCGCACTGAAGCCGCAGATGCATTCTGGGAAATGGAGTTTATGCGAGAATGACATTAGAAAACTTGTGCTGACCTTTTTTTTTTTTTTTTACAGACTACAGAGCTGACTAGTAGACGTTGTGTCAGGCCTGGCGCTATGGGGGGGAAAAGGGGGCATTGCCCCCCTCAGAAATAATTTGTGCCCCCTCAGTTTTCATCAAGGATTAGTTCACTCAAAACTGAAAATTCTTTTTGTCATTAATTACTAACACTTCCATCATTCCAACCTTCAGAACACAAATTTAGATATTTTATATTATACAAAGTATGTATTTTTTTGGGCTATACTGCTATTTGCTAATGCTTAATTAAACAGCAGAAAATATATTTTAGGCCTATTTTAACAGCTAAAATACAATTAGCAGATCAATTTTATTTAAACCTGTAGCTCATGGCCCTAAAAATTAAAATGTAACCTAAAAACAAGTTAATAAAGGCTAAATAATTAAATAAAATGACAGGTTTGACAGCCTAATAACTGAATGGTTGCGTTTTTACAAATGCCTACCAGACAATTTCACACAAAAAAAATTAAAAAACAGCTTATGATAGCCCAACATAAAGCTTTATTTTTACCTTTAAACATTTATATTATTTGAAATAAAGCTGAAAGAAATGAGGAGAACAAAATATCATTTAAAACACTTGTACTGAAGCCATGATGCGTCTATGTAAACGGTATTGTTGCGTAACCTTTATTACTATAAAAAAAGTACATTACTGCCTTAATTCACTAACTTAGGATGCAAAGTGATAATAAAATGAATCAATAGCCTAAATGAAAGGAACAAGAGGGATCAAAATCAGTCACTAGGGGCCTCATGTACAAAGACTTGCGTTGAACTGATACTAAAACATTGCGTACGGACAAAGCTGTAGATGTGCGCAGTAAAAAAATCTGATGTATGAAACACTACGTACGCGGAATCCCACGCATATTCTCTTTGTACACCAGAATTTCCCTGCCTCCTCCCCCGTATGAATATCCCAATGACTCCACTTAGGCAAAACCAAACGAAAAAGCAATGATTTTAGTTCCTGTATATAAAGTTTCATTGAAACATGCAGATTTTTAGATTTACATATTTAGATTACAGTTTATATTCATTCTAATAGAAAGAAAAACATAAAATAGCATGATGTATAAGTGGACTGGCGCCATCTAGCGTTTAAATAAGACAGTCACCGAAAAAAAATCAAACTAAAGCTAAAAATGTCAACATTGACTCCATTAATCATTTATTTTAATAAATTGTTAATTATTAAATATTTGCTAGTACCCAAAGTCATTTAATATACTTAATTGTTATTTTCTCTTTTTACAAAGTTCTACAACATTTTCGAAAGCAAGTAAAATGTAACAAATTATGGAAAAAAATTACAATGATATATAAAATTACAACAAAATGATGATATATTATTTATGCAATAAATATATAAATTATTACAGTTAGGTCAAGAAGTCATGTTGAAAATGATGGGAAAAATCTTATCACACTCCAAACCAAATAATCTAGAAATAGCCATTGCATTTATAATAACATTTATTTATTCATATTATTTAAGAAGACGGATTTAAAAAAAGCATTAGCATGTGTTATTGATCCTCACTTTGTTACACAGATAGTCCATCAGTTCCTGCAATAAAGAGGTCACAAACTGCTGGTTATGCTGGACTTCTCATGCACACACATGAAGTTCTGGAGATTTTCTAACCTTGATCTTCCTCATCTGATTTACGGCTGCGTCATCGAGCAGCTCAACATTGATCTCATCTTTATTGTCCTCGGAAAGAAACAGAGTCTTGAAAGCAAAAAAGACCAGCAAAATGAATGCTAAAAGAGTAAAATGAAGTGTAAAAATGTACATGTAGTCAAACTCACTTCTCCATGGGAAGTTACTATTGTGGCTGTAGCCATCATCAATTCATCTCCAACAGAGCGACTTGTTTGTCTGTTTGTAAACAGCAGATTTGTCAGTGCCAACACACATATGAAGAGATCTTCACCAGTATAACACTCAAGAAAGGAAATGTTACCTAAATTGAACCCCTAAAGCATTTGCTTGGTCACTGAGTTTGACAACCCGTCCTTGAGTTCTTTTGGCATTGATGGTTGAGGCACATCTGTCAACAAGAATCAAAAGGGATTTGCATTTAATTCATCCACTATTTAACCAATAACAAAAAGCATAACACTAATAAAACAATCATTTAACCCTTTGACATTCCTCACTTCAGCTAACTTTCAAGGGGTCTTCAGAATAAATTTAAAATGAGACTGAATGAGTTAATGTACAACTGAATGTGGTTAATGTACAAAGTTTTAGGAATGCAATTTTAAAGCACTTTAAGAGTATTTTATGATACTTGTTAACTATAGTTAGTATTTTTTTTTCATTAAGATAGTTTTACTAAACATGGCTTGGATTTGTTTAAAAAATATTTAAATAAAAAAAAACACAATATGACAATCTTTAAACTTGATTTGACAATACTTCTAAGAGATACTTTTATTTAACAAAAGAAAACATTTTATTTATACTCAAAGGGATTTTTGCAGCTTGTTTAAACTACTTTAAATGAGTTGTAACAATTCTGAAGTTTCTTTGGGATAACGTAATCATTCTTACAAATGTAAGTAAATTGAACCTAAAACAATTAATTTAACTGAATCAATTTGTGTTGGGACAACATCAAGAAATTTGTGTGAAGAAATTTTAGTGTAACAAAACTTAAAGCCAATGATGTAGCTATATGTAAAATATAAATATTTCAGCTACCGAAAAATATTGACTCAGATGTAGATTGACTCAGAGCAGATGGCTTTATTTAGTGTCTAAGACGTTTTAGCTCAAACTAACCAATAGATTTTATGCCAGTGCTTGATAATGGTCCACAGGAGCTGCTTTGCCCATGCACATCTGATATTTTGTACATATTAGTCTGACATTTTGTAAAGATTATACTTTGTTTATTGCAAGTATTTAATCATTTAACTGAGAAAAAAGTTGGACTCATTTCCTCCATGTAATTAGTAAACCTTTTCGCATTATTGCCAATATGCCAAAAGCTTTAAATGAATCCAATATCGGTGCTCAATACATTGGTACATCCCACCTAAATTTGATTAAACGCATTATAAAATATTACATCTCCAGTCCTTATGGAAGATGGTCTTTTATTATATCAGTAAGTTTGATTAAAAAAAGTAGAAAAGCAAAATCAAGCTGACATGACATTCAATATTTGGTGACTAAAAGGTTTAGTCACCCTGGAGGATTTATATGTTAATAAAAATTTGCCTTATTTCTCAACTAAAAGAAACGTTTTCTCTCCCTGCAGTACACTTTTTTTTCAACATTTACAGATTAGAAATTACCATGCAATATCCAATTTTAAAATTGCAGCCAGTCTACTATTGGGCTCACCCGATTCCAAACACTTGATTTGAGATTTTGTATGCGTTTTCTCAAGAACTGAGCTACTCTATAATTTATTTGAAGAATGCTTGGGAAGAAGACAGGGACATACAGATTGAGACCAATACATGGGAGAAAAACCTCAGTAGAGTTCAATCTTGCTCTATTTATTCCAGGCATCAATTAATTGGGTTTAAAGTAATGCATAGACTGCACTATTTAAAATCTAAATTACAAAAATGTTTTCCCATTGCCCCTACGTGTGACCGATGCAAGTCTGCTAAAGGCTCCCTGATCCACCTCTTTTGGACGTGAACTTTATGATTTCTGGTGTGACATTTAAATGCTTTTCTAATATGTATGGTTTTACCTTTACAATTGACCCAAATTATTTGGGTACTCTCATTCTCTGCTGGATTATAATGAGTCCATACAAAGCATCATAATTTATGGAATGATTATTACTAAAAGAGTCATTCTAAAACTGTGGAAATCAGATTCTACTCCTCAATTTAAGACATGGTTAACTTCTCACTCAAATATTGCACATGAAGAGTCCTGATGATCATTTTGATAAGTTTTGCAATATATGGCAACCTTTTCCTTATCACCTGGACCAACATAGTGTGAATTCTGAGCAGCAGTGTAATGCTTAATATGCCCACTACCCCATTGACTGCCACTGTATTTTCATTGGAACCATGTATATGCCCCAATTGTTTTCTAATAATAACTTAATTTTTTTAAATGTATTTTTCTTTATTTTAATTATTATTACCATTATTTATTTGTATTATTATGCTTATTTCCTATTTGTATTGTTGTTTTGTTGTGTGGTAATTATTGAAAAGTAAAACTAATAAAATAAAATAAAAAGCAAGCATTTGTTGATATTAATACATTATGATTTGGTATTATCAAAATCTTTTATTAAATTTAGCTTGTGCTGTATTTAAAAAATCCTGTAAAATATATTTTCCAGCTTAAAATGAATGAAGACTGCAAAAGAGTTCAATTGAATTAAAAGGTTTACCTCAGACTCCCAGTGCTTTTACTGCTGTGCAGGGTCTTCTTTGTAGGTTTCTGTTTTGATAAGTCATTAGTGAATCAAACTAAACACCCACACAAATAATAAAAGCAGAAGTTAAGTACCTTTTGGCCTTCAATTGGAGTCTTACTTTGACTCGACGACCTTTGTTGCCCTGCCAAGGCATTTAAAGCTACAAAAAACATAACTTTAATCCTAACACATATAAAAGTTACATTTGAAAACATTACTTAAGTTTTCTGGAACCTTTTTTGCTTGGCTTTCTAGACAGGGGTTTCTGAATTTCTGGAGAGGCACACTAAAAAAATCGAAAACAAGCAGCGTCACATTTAAGTGTTGTTGTTATCTTAAGTGAACACCAGAGGCCAGCAAAATCACTTTACCTTAAGAGCCATCGTCACCTCGCCAACAGACGTGTCATCATCTGGAAAAACACATTAGAAGATTAGAGCTGCTACTAGTCATTATATAACATGCAGACA